TGTTCTTCCTCCCACCTATACCCTCCTCCCACCTCAAGCCGCACCCCCATCTCCTACCTACTAACCTCATCCCGCCCCCTGGACCTGTCCGTCCTCCCTGGACTGACCTATCTCCTCCCTACCTCCCCACCTACACTCACCTTTACTGGCTCCATCCCCGCCTCTTTGACCTGTCTGTTTCCTCTCCACCTATCTTCTCCTCTGTCCATCTTCTATCCGCCTCCCCCCTCTCCCTATTTATTTCGGAACCCCCTTCCCCTCCCCCATTTCTGAAGAAGGGTCTAGGCCCGAAACGTCAGCCTTCCTGCTCCTCTGATGCTGCTTGGCCTGCTGTGTTCATCCAGCTCTACACCTTGTTACCTTAGAGGAAAAACATTGTCACCTCTCCTGGCCAAAGTTGCAAGTGTTTAAAGTCTATGTTATGCCCATAATCATGAGTGAATGCATGTGTGATATTGTGTATATAAACAGGGGTTCAGATAGGAGACTGCGGCTGACTTCAGGCTGTTTTGGAACCTACCATTTTTCTTCAGGTTTGTAAATAATCTAGTGACAAATTTATTGTTGATCAAAAGCTGAATTTATTTGTGATTTGAATGCTTATCTCAAGCCCTGTATAAATAGCTGTTATATGGGCATTATTGTTATATTTGTAGTCTATATGAAGGACATTTCCCAATCATTAAGATAAAAATGTTACACCGAGATGAAAACATCACCAATAGCTGTGATTCCCAGAACATTTTAATTCCAAATAAACCTGTAAAATATATTGATTATCATACCAGATGATGGTTATTTATTATACTTAAATTTCAGTTACACTCAAATATTGAAGGATATCAACACTCATGAAAGGGTAACCAGCATTGGTGTAATGTCCTGTATATTTCTTTTCAAGTGCAACACCTGTGGGAGATGTTTCATAAGTATATAGTTGTGTGCACAGACAGTTCTTTTTGATAACATACTTTTGCACCTGCAACTTTGGATTTGTACCTAATCTGTTAGCCAATTAATGATGCTGTATATGATTTTGTAAACCATTTTCACTGTTAACTTCAGTCTGGAGGGTCAGACCAAGAAAGAACAAAAAAGCAGAAAAGAGGGGACCGTTACTCCGTTCAGACATCACTGATTGTAGCAACCCTTAAAAAAATGCTTCCTATTGGCTTGAACATGTGTTCACCTGCTGATCAAGAGTTGATTAACATAGCCAAAACAAGATATGCCCTGGTAAGTGCAGAATTTTCAGTATATATTTATATGTATGAAATGCTTGATAATAATATTTCCATTTGCTTTTGTTTAGAAAGAAGTCATGGAATAGTTGCTGGTAGGGTTGAACCTATATATTGCTGCAAAAAGAATTGGGCTTCCGAAGCTTGACTGCACCTTATTTCCATGTAGTGTAAATTGTTGCCCCTTCTGAAATGTGGTGTTCTTGCACCTATTCTGATGAGTGCAAGATAAAAAAAATCTAATAATATGTCCTTTGTTTTCAGTTAAGTAATAATTGTCGATCCATCATTTTCAATGGTCTGACTGTGTAGTGAATCAATTAAATGTTAGTAAACTACTAGATTGTACAGGTAGAACCGTAAAATACAAGATACCAAATGTTAATGCAATACGCTAAGTTGGGCATACAGAAAGGTTTTCTTGCTTTTGGTCATTGTACCATAAACAAACAAATATATGCATTGAAACATATAATTAAACATGAGCTCTTACGAAATATTTAAAAAGTTTGAGCAAAAACACTATGGACAATGTTAAATTTTTTGTCTTTCAACTGTTCACTATTTATAGCAAGACTGTAAAATAATTCCTTAAATTAGTCAAGCTTTTTCCTAAGCAACAGGATTTTTTAAGATGAAGAGATAAAAATATTGAACTACTTAAAATATCAAATGGAATCACTAGGAAGGCTGTGTTATGTGGACATTAGGGGAAAAGGAATGGATCAGGCTCTGTTATGATACCTTCTGCAGTTGACTTACCACCATCCTGGAAGAATGGTTACTGGAGGAAGGTACTAGCGTTCACCCTGTGAACAACATAGTCAGTATCTTCGAAGGAGAGGCAATTTAGTCTGTTCAGTGGAAGCGTTGAAAGGTTTATTGCATCATCTAACAGATACTGTAGTAATAGTGATGGCAATAAGTCCTCAGAAGTATTTTGTCTAATAAATTCATCAATAGCACGCATAATTACAGGGCCATATTTAAATAAGTCAGAGTTATGGTGCTGCAGAGATGTGACCTTGCCACTAGCCAACATTCCCTGAGTGAGCAAGATTTGTGAATTTTTTTTGTATGTTATAAAACAAATGCTAAAGTGCTTAATATATATTGTATTGAATTTTAAAATTCAAATGGAGAGAAAAATTCTAGATTTTAAGACTGGGATCAGATTAAAAACTACAGCTTTATATGGGTGAATATCCAATACAAAACACATTCAGCTTGTTGGAAAGAAGTCAGAAAGGAAACTTAATTTTTTTCATAGGTTTTTCAAGCAGAAGTATTGTTTTTATGCCAATCAAAAGTTTACTGCTTTGCTGTGGCACTGATCTACTCTGTCTACTTTCTTACAATCCTGACAGAAAGATACAGATGAAGAAGTAAGAGAGTTTCTTCAGGGCAACCTCCACTTGCAAGGAAAGGTACAATAATATAATTTCAAAATGAGAGAAATGATCATTCACTTTTATCATCACTATCTTTAATTTATTTCATAATTCACTGTTTCACAATCTTCAAATAGTTATAATAGCTGAAATGGTTATATCATCTCACTGAGAACAGATTTCTTGCAATTGTACTGGGGCCGTTGGACTGCACCACATTCATAGGCACATAGAGAGAAATATAGGGGCAAACCTGCTGCACCGTTTGTAAGAATGTTGCTGATCTGGTTGTGGTGTCAACTTGCCTGTCAGATCCCCACAACCCTCGACTCCTCTATCAACAATCTAGCTAACTCAGCCGTGCTAAACTCAACAACTTAGCTTCGACTGCTTCCTGGGGAAGTGAATTCAATCGACTAGCAATCCTCGAAGAGAAAAAGATTCCCTTCCCCTCCATCATAAAAGCAATCTCTTATTCTTAATCTGTGTCCTTTATACTTGCGCACAAGAAGAGACATCCTCCTAGGACCCAACAAGTCGAGTCCCATTGGAATCTTTTATCTGTTTCAATAAGATCATCTCTCCTTGTAAGCTCCAATGGATATTAGCAGAACCTGTTCAACCTTTCTTCACAAGATAAAACTGAAAACAAGATAAAATGGACAAAATTGAGTGGACAATTGCCTGCTACAACAGAATGCACCCAGTTTCCTATCCCATTAGTTAATTTATGAGAGAGCACTTAATGACCAAGTCCTTATAATTGGCTCCATTGTGTTAAAAAATAAAGTGAAAGAATATGAAGCTGTTGTTCCTCTTTCAAGTAGGGGAACCATCTCTCTGTCAAAGCCATTTGCAGGCCAAGATTTTGAAGTTGGATTTCTTTGGAGGATCGGGGACCGCTGAAAGCAGGAGAATATAGAGGAGCAATATGTAGTACAAAATAGAATGCGGTTGTGAAGATCAGACAAGTTGCATTCTGATATCCAGAAGATAGCATGGTAAACTTTGGAATAATTTTGTAGAATTGTAATGCCTGAAAGCCAGACCTCCAACCTGACTCCAATTCATGTACTTAGGATGCAGGATGGGTAACCAAACAGCTTGCAAAACGCCAGGTTTTATTTAAGTTCTATAATTAGTCTGTGATCCTCTGAATTAACAATCCATTTTCCAATTAACCCTGGCCAACCAGGTTTGCCAGGTCTTGGTCCTGTGGGGAGGTGCGGACCGCTGGGTCCAGGTGATGTGCTTTTCCACTTGCAGGCTGGGTCCAGTTTACCTACCACCTGGCCCTGCCATTGGCACTACCACAAGTTTCCAAGCTCTGTCTTTCCTCACACTCTCCCTTAACATCAACTCTTCCAGTTTCCCCACTTCGGTGCCTGCACTGCCCTCAAACCTCTTCTCCACCACCATTGTGCCCCAGCCTCCCTGCAACTTGCTCTGCTATCGTCTCCAGCCGCCAGTGGCCCCTAATTCCCCAAAGAAATCCAACTTCAAAACCTTGGCCTGCAAATGGCTTTGACAGAGGGCAGGTTGCTCTGCTTGAAAACAGAACAAGGCTTCAAATCCCTCCAACCTTTTCACTTCATGATGCTTGGTACGGAAAGCCAACCTACCTAGCATTAAAGCACATTATCCGAAGTGAATCCATTCTTCTGAGTTTCCTGACCTCAAGACAGTATACTCTCACCCCTACCCAATCCTGAGCTTTGAGTCTAGATGTGTCAAAGGTGTGATTAAACATTTTAGATAAAGGCGAAGGCTGGAGATATTGTAAAGCTGGAAATCGGTAGTTTTAGTGTGGCCGCCGCTGAGCCCCCACTGATACCTGCATTAATCCGTAAAGTGGTTCATTTATACGTGAGTGTGGAAAATGCTCGCTTGAGATACCTTGCCTTTACGTTGAGTAATACAAAGCAAGCAATTGTTTAGGATAAACTTAAATAAGAATTAGATTATTTATAAAAAACTGATGTTGCTTATTTTAATTATTTGCAAATCAACATGTTTGTGTTTGTTTCACTTGTTCACTGTTACCATTGTTCAGTGTTATAACTCATGATTATTATAACTGAGGCATTTTGAAAGGAATGTAAAGGTTAGTATATGGGCAAGAAATGTTGCTTAACATAAAAGAAAAGTATTTGCATTTATATAGTGCATTTGAGGATCACCAAATGTCCCAAAATGCTGTGCAGCCAATGGAGTATTACTACACTATTTGAAGTGTAGTGACCGTTGAAATATAGGAAATGTGACAGCTAGTTTTTACTCACCAAGCTCCTACGAACAGGTATGCGATGATGAAGAGACAATCTGTTTCTGTAATATTGACAGAGAGATAAATATTATCAAGGGCACTGAAGATAACTCCCCTGTTCTTCTTCAAAACAGTGTCATAAGATGCTCCTATGATGCTGCTTGGCCTGCTATGTTCATCCAGCTCAAACCTTGTTATCTCATAAGATCTTATGTTGTCCTGAAAGGTCAGATCGCATCTCTGTTTGATGCCTAGTCCTAAAGAAAGCATCTCTGATAGTGCAGCTCTCACTAAGTGCTGCACTGGAATGTCAGCCTGGATTCTGTACAAATTGAACCCACAAACTTCTAATTCAGAGATGAGAATGCTATCAGGTGAATGATAACTGTCAATGTCATGTTAGAACATGCTTTGCAAGAATGTTTTAGCTTCAATCATTACTATTTGAAAGGCCCAGTTTGAAAGCAGAAGGAACCACAAAACCACAGACTAAATTTCCACCCCATCTCAGGAACCAGGAGCGGGGATTTTGGGTCAGAAAGCTGCTTCTTGGGTGGGGGTGGGTAACTAACTAAAGGTTTTCAGATGTATAAGCTGTTAACTGGCATGGAGACAGGTTTTCTGTACAACAGCGGGCAAGCAGGCTGTCAAAGCAGGATAGCCAGTCAGAGGCCTTCTAGCTTCAGAGAAGCACCAGGCTAGAGCACATGATATGTAATAGATAGGATGCCTCAACATGAAGGTGGTTTTTCAGCCACTTTCTAACGGCTTTTATTTAAAAATAATGTAAAGGCAACTAGGCCACCAGTGTGAGAAAGTTGTGGGATGCAGGATCTCCCTAGAGTGGACTTCAGCTATACTTCCATCCAGTAAAGCAGAGGGGGCCTTGTTGGCTTGCTAGCAGCTCAGCTACCCCTACTTGCCATTGTCAATTGCTTTATGATGCATGTCAAATTGGGAACCTCAAAGCTGACTGGTAAATCCGAATTAGCCACCTAGGCCTGCATTTAACAAAACCCTTAATGAGTTTAATTGCCTTCCCGCCTCATAAGGGTGAGTGGCCTTTCTGAGTCCCAAGCTTGATTCCCCAAGATTGCTGGGAATTGATTGTGCCAATTAACTCCCCAGTTAAACCCCCAGTATATTCAGATCTCCACATCCCTGTCCTATCCCATGGTTCTGTTCCTAACTTTTTTTCTTGTATTTGTTCAAGGGATGTGGGTGTTGCTTGCTGGGCCATCAGTTATTTCCCATGTCTAATTGCCCTGGCAAAAGTGATGGACCACTGCTATCCTTGTGGTGTAGGGACACCCATAGTGTTGTTACTGAGGAAGTTTCAGGATTTTGAACACAGCAACAGTCTTGTCCTTCAAGGTTGTGAGGTCACGGATTTAGAAGGTATTGTCAAAAGAGGGATGGGGTGAACCTGAATATTGACAAAATGTTTAAGGTTCAATTATATTAAGATGATCTGTTCTACTGCCCTGTGCCAGATGTGATGGCATAGTGATAGTGTCACTGGCCCATAATCCAGAGGGACAAGCAATGTTCTGGAGCTGTGGGTTCGAATCCCACCCATGGTAACTGGTGGGATTTAGATTCAATGAATAATTATGGGATTAAAAGCTAGTCTCATTGACATATTGTTATTGATTTGTCATAAAAACTCACCTGGTTCACTGATTTCCTTGCCTTGTCTGGCCTACATGTGACTCCAGATCCATAGCTGTGGATGACCCTTAATTGCCCTCTGAAATGGCCTTGCAAGACACTCAATTCACAGGCGACTGAGGATAGGCAACAAAATGCTGTTGAGGCTCACCCTCACTTCCTTTAGCCCACTAAGCTAACCCCCTGCCTTGGACTCAGACTCCCTTTTGGGTGCACTCCCTCGTGCACTGTTTAAGATTATCTTGTCACTGCCACTTCCTCTCCTGAAACCTGATTCCCACCAAGCATATGACCATCCAACGTACTTTCCTGTTCTATCAACAGCACCCTCCTGAGAAAATACACCCCTTTCCACCTATCATGATGTCTCCTTTAGCTCAGTCTCAGTGGTTCTCTGATTAAGATTCTGTGAAGCACTTTGAGATGTTTTACCACATTAAAGGCTGTATATAAATTCAAGGTTGTTTTCTTCATATGATCTTGTACTGCACATTTTTATAGTATTTTGCACTGAACAGTAATAGGGCCTCATACTAGGCCAAATTTTAAAACGATTCACTGAATTGATAACATTCATTTTATGAATGTGTTTTATAGTGTGAAAATTCTTCAGCTATGCGATGGCAGATGGCATTGTACAAGGACATGGCTGGCAAGGCTGAAGACAGCAATAACCCTGACAAGATTGTGAAAAGAGTGCAAGAAGTCTCTGCTGTCCTGTTTCACTTGGAGCAGGTACAAACAACTGTTACTTATGTACAAATAAGCATTCTATTTTGTTCTTTCATGGTAAGGCCAGAAATTTGTTGCTCATCTCTGATTGCCCTTGAAATGAGTAACTTACGAGGCCATTTCGGTGGGGGTCGGGAGTCAGGTAGGGTGTGTGTGTTTGTGTTGTGTTTTCAGGGAGATTTACAGATTGACACTCCAGAGGCAGGTATCCCATCACCAAGTCACCCTTTATTTACACATGAATAGTCCTTGACTTTAGTACTATTTCATCCAGAGTTAGCTCTCAGCGTGACAGTATCTCTAAACACCCCTTTTTTATCTGTCAGCCAGGGCTCCCTGATTGAACTAGATTAACAGCCCAATCAGGGAACTTGTATTCTGTGTGGTCCAGCTGGCTGACCTTGTTGCAGTCACTACACCTACCTTGGCCATCAAGTCCTGGAGTTTCTATCCCAGGGGAACATTACCACTGCACCATAAGGCTCCTTGGAGTATTAGTGAACCAGAGCAGTTTTCACATTAATAAATTTATAGTTAAAATGGTCACCATTACTGAAACTACCTTTATATTCTATATTCATTTGATTTTTAATTGCTGTGGTGGGATAGCCTCCAGTAACATTGCCACTAGCCCACTGTATTCCCCTAAGTTTTCTTTGAATGACTGCAATTTAATGAAAGAGTTAAGTAAAAACAGAAATATCACATCTGAGATAACATATTATGAAAGAACAGCAAGAATCCTAATTTGCGTAATTTTACATGTATTATTAAACTCATCATATTGCAGCACTTCCATAAAATGATATAACACAGGTACGGATTATATTCTACTGAGTTCCCAACCAGGGTCTAGTTGTTTTAGGGCAGTACTGATCTAGCCTCAGATGAGACGCGCAATCTGTGATCTTCCCAATGTCCAAGCCCCTCTGCCAGCCTGTTCCCTTGATGGACTTGAGTAAACATCAGTAACTTTGGACAGCATCTTGATTTTTTGAGACTAAGTCTTAGTTCCTCCTAATGGTAGAGGTTCTTCTGCTCAGAGTCAAGTTTTCTTGCATGGATTACATTCTTCTCAGTTCACTATGTATGCATACACAAGTAGAACACCAAATGTAATGAATGGAAGTCCTACCCTCACGGGGACCTTCCAGGCTCCAGCATCCGGATGCCATTTTTGAAAGCACTTCACACTCTGCAACCCAAGAGCATCACTCAACCTTTGCTCATCACCCCTATCCATCCCTGATGACGTCAGACACTATGCAGAAATTGGTGCCTCACTTCACTGATGTCTCTACAGAGATTTTTTGAAAGCTGCCCAGGAAAGGAGGGAAGTTCTCTTCTCAAGGATTGGCAAAGGAGCACCCCAATGGATGAAAGCAAACTGGATGGAGGTGACTGTGAGGTCAGTGCCCATGAGTGGCCCAAGAGGAACTGGCTCCAATGCTGTAAGAAGATGAACAATCTACTGCAATCTGCCAGGGTCCACACCACTGTCTACTCGATGTTGCATGCTCCTATGAGTGAGTTGAGTGCCATGTGCAAACAATGAATCACTACATTGCAGTACTTGTAGAACATTGGTACTGCCTCTCACCCATCTGCCAGCATTCACACTTATAAAGTAAAAGGAGCTACAACTCTTACTAGGTCATGAACCATCAGCTCACTGACCTTTCTTCAGAACTAGGAGAACATCTATTAGAAGACTGTAGATACTCAATGATGCCTGCACCAATACAGCTGGCCTGTCTTGTTCTTCTGCCAGTTCAGTAGCCTTTTCTTTGAAGGGGGTCAGAAGTCTTAAATTAGCATTATAAGGAGGACAAAAGATTGTTGAAACTAAAAGAATAAATTAACTTACAAATTAATGTCAAAAAAGGTATCTTAACATTTTAGAGGTACAAAGCAAGTGATCATTAGCTTATTTCTGATTGTCCACACATTCACAGAATTGTTATAGTAAGGAAGGAGACTATTTGGCCCATTTTGTCCGCATCAGCTCTCTGAACAAGAACTGTGACTCAGTGCCATTGTCCTACTTTTGCCCCATAACCCTGAATATTATTTCTGTTTAAATGGTCATCTTCTGCCCTCTTCGATGTCTGAGTTGAACCTGCCTCCACCACAATTCCAGAAGTGTCCCAGCCATAAAAGTTCTTTCACACAATGAGTTGTTTTCGTATCACATTGCTTCTTTTCAAATTACCTTATATCTGTGCCCTCTCATTCTAGATCCTTTTACAAGCAGACTTTCCTGTGTACTCTGTATAGACATCTCGTGATTTTGAAAACTTTCCTTAAATCTGTTCTTAGCCTTCACCTCTGAGGGAAACGGTCCCACCTTCTCCAATCCTGCCTCATAACTGATGTTTCTTATCCCTGAAACTGTTCTCATAAACCTTTTTCTGCAATCTGTCTAACGGTGTTCACATTGTTTCCAAAGTTTACTATCCAGAATAATATACAATACCCCAGCTGAGGTCTAACTAGTATACGAATTCAGCATAACCTCCCTGCCTGTGTACACCATGCCCCTGTTAATGAAGCCTAGGAAACTGTGTGCTTTTTTAACTGTTTGTTCTATTTGTCCTGGCACCTATGCACACAGGCATCCAGATCTCTATGCTCTTATAAACCTTTTAGGTTAACATCATTTATTTTATACTGCCTCTCCACGTTCTTTCTATCGAAAATATCACTTCACATTTCTACACATTGAACTTCATATGTCACCTATCAGCCATTCCAACTTGTCACAGTCTTTTAGCAGTTCTACACTGTCCTCTCAGTTTACATTGTTTGCTAATGTTGTTTCATCTGAAAACTTTCCACATAAAGACCTAGATCGTGTGTGTGTGTGTATATATATATATCAGGAAATGTTTCTATATCCATGTTGTTACTGTCCCATTTATTTCATGAGCAGTAACTTTTCTCACAAGTCTGTTGTGTAGGTACTGTAGGAAATACTTTTTCGAGGTCAATGTACTCCACGCCAACAGCATTACCCTCAGCAACTTTCTGTTCCCTCTTCAAAAAATTCCCAAGTTAGTTAATGTGATTTTCCCTTAGAAATTCATGCTGGCTGTTCCTAATTAACCAATATTTTTCCATATGACCCATATTTCTATCCCACATAACTATTTACAGAAGTTTCCTTGCCACTAAAGTTAAACTGTAGTTCCTGGGTTGGGCTTTATCCTTTTAGTATTTTTTTTTGAAAGGGGCACCATACTTGCAATTCTCCAGTCCTCTGACACCACCCTGATAATGATATTGAAGAAACCAAAACAGTTCTGCGACAAGGCAGACAGGCCCAAAAGAACCTGACAGTGGCTAGATTTGAAGAGGAATCTAGGGAGCCTCAGGATGATTGAAAGATAACTGCCAGTGCCTTTGCATTTTCCACTGAACTAATCCAAATGCATGAGGCAGAATCTTTCCATGTCCTAAACAATGTGGATTATGGTGAAAAATTTGGGAATTTCTTTTGAGAAATTGAGCGAGGTCTTTCTCAACTTCATGAGGAATGAGTCATATTTACCAGAGTTTCTAAGGCAAGATTGTCACCAGTGAGAGATGAGAGCTGTATTAATGGAGATTGTTGCTCATTATCATCCTTATTACTAACTAGTCTCATCAGACACTGGATAGAAACTAGATGCTGAGAATTATCAACATAAAGGTTAGAGTGTTACCTGGTGACTCCAGCTCACTGCTTGTTCCATCTTGAATGCCCAGCACCAATGTCTCAGTGCAGTCCAGGACAACAGCCGCACGCACCTCATCCATGGATAGTGGCTTCTGACATGCAAGCCTCGCTGTGCCATCATCACAGCACAGCTCAAGTCTATTTATGGTATACTTCTGCACTGCCACAGAAACCCTCATCATTTAAGTATTTAGGAGTCCGCTTATGATGCCAAGAGCATATAAGGCTTTAGACCAAGTGCTGGAAAGTGGAATTAGAATAGTTAAGTGCTTGTTTTGATTGGTGCAGACCTGATGGGCTGACAGGCCTTTTCCTGTGCTATTGACCTCTGACTCTATCACATCTCATTCTTTATAACTCCAGAGAACACAGACCCAATTAACTCAGCCTGTCATCAAAGGACAACCCTCACATCCTAGGAGCAATCTGCTGAACCTTCACTGCACTGTTTCCAATGGATATGTAAGCTTCCTTAATTATGGAGATCAGAATCATAGAGTATTCCAAGTGCAGTCTTACATAAAGCCCTATACAACTAAAGGACAATGTTCCCGATTCTCTTTTTAGTTTTGGTGGTCAAGTGGTACAACTTGTCTAATTTACTTATAAGATCTTATGAAGGGAGTGGCTAATTCATGAAGGTAGAAGTAAGGGCTTGTTGAACTGAATTGAATAAAAATTCAGCTTGTTGTATTTTTTCATATAATACAAGTTACCTTCTCCAGTACGTTACACCATTGCATTTACCTTCCAGTGATGAAAGTCTTGTCACCACAATTCTTTCTCTAAGTCCAGGAGCTCCTTCAGCAATTTAATCTCGCTAGAATCCTGTCTATAAAGTAAGAATATTCAGACAGAACTTCAATATCAATTAATTGAAATATTATGTGTGGGTTTCAAATGTAGCCCACTAAGTCCCACTGGTTCTACATCTAATGTGGTAGAAACTGCATTAAAAGGCTACCACATTCAGCTAGTGGATATGTATTTTATATAATTTGTCATTTCACTGAATATTGGAATTTCTTATGTTGGTTAGATAGAACATCCTTTCAAGTCCAAGAAGATGGTTTGGTACAAGCTCTTGTCCAAGCAGCGCAGAAGAGCTGTGGTAGCATGTTTCAGAATGACTCCACTGTATAACTTACCAAGGTAAACTATCATGCATGGCAGTACAAAATCAAAAAAAAAAAACAGCGCTTTCCCCTCTAGGCATCATGCCATGCTGTTTTAAATTCCTGGTATTAAATTTTCTTTTACTCATTGACAATGAAGGTGTGCTAAATCTAGCCAAATATTTTGGGTTTTTTTAATCTTTCAAGCAGGCAACGTATAATGTGTTCCTAGTATCAGTAAGTTAAGTTATAGAAGATGATAAATATTGATTGATAATCTATTTGGCACTGATACTTTTGTAATACAACTGAGCTGGGCAGAAATTGATACCAAAACATAACATACTCTGAAGATTTGGAAACTTATCAAGTTTACAATGCTCTCCTCTCCATGATTTAACCTTACATATTTTTCCAAAATTCATTTTAGCAGTTGAATAAACCTAGATATGCTAATATTTTCTTTAAACAATTTTTCATTTGAGTGAACATTGCATTTATAAATAAAACTTGTATTGTGAACAGCTCTTTAGCGATATTACGAGAGAAGAGTGCCTTTACCTGATTTATAATTATTCATAAAAATCCCAAAGAACTATAGATCCTGGAAATAAAAAACAAAAATAGAAATTGCTGGAGAAACTCAGTTCTAAAGAAGGGTCACTGGAACCAAAATGTTAATTCTACTTTCTCTCCATAGGTGCTGCCAGACCTGCTGAGCTTTTCCAGAAATTTCTATTCCTTTTTATACTTATTCATATCTGTCATTACTGTAGGCTACAAATGGTCATAATATAAACACAGCATCAAAATCACATTCTTTATGATGACTTAAGTATTTCATATAAAATACATTTTAGGTGGTCTGAAATAATTCAGAATCATCTAGTACTTTATTGACAATTTCATGCTGTGCTATTAAGATGTTTGGGCTTCAAGTGACTACCAGGTGTTAGAGACAATTTGGATGATACAGAAGTGTACTGACTACCCTGAAATGTACACTCCAACTCATTAGAAAATATGAAAGTAAGTGGTTACATTTATACAGTGTCTTTTGTGACTCCAGAACAACCTAAAGGTGACCTAAACGTAGGAAATAGCAGCAGAAGTAGGCCATTTGGGCAATCAGGTCTGCTCTACCATTTGAGCAGATCATGATCGATCTTCTATCTCAATGCTATTTTCCTGCACTATCCCCATATCCCTTAATGTCTTTAATATATAGAAAGCCATCAATCCCAATCTTGAATATACTCAATGACTGAGCCTTCACTGCCCCCTAGAGCAGAGGTGTCAAAATTAATATTGAATTAATGAAAATTCTGTCAGCTCCTGTGACAGGATTTGAACTTGAGAGCCCACAGTTTTAGCCTGGATTTCTAGATTAACAATAAACTAAGACCATACGACTGTTGCTCCCTAAATGCTTTAGCTTGATGAGAGCTGGCACAAAGAAATTTCACCTTCTCCCCTTCACCTTCGTAAACTGCTCCTCTCTGGCTAGCAGTTCACCTTTGCCAAAGCAGGGGAATGGAATTTCAGCCCCTTTGAATTTATCACATGATCAGTAATCACTACATTTGCAGTTGCAGCTGATCTGTGTGCTGCTTTAAATTATATTTAACCCTTTTTAGCTTGTTTTTGCTTTTAAGTTCCAATGCCTGTTCTTTATTCATTCATGGGATGAGGGTGTCGCTGGTCAGGCAGCATTTAGTGCCCATCCGTGATAGCCCAGAGGGCAGTTAAGAGTCAACCACATTGATGTGGGTCTGGAGTCACATGTAGGCCAGACCAGGTAAAGATGGCAGTTTCCTTCCCTAAAGGACATTAGTGAACCAGATGGGTTTTTCCCCCCGACAATTGGCAATGGATTTATGCCATCCTTAGACCCTTAATTCCAGATACTCAAATTCCACCATCTGCCATGGCTGGATTTGAACCCAGGTCCCCGGAACATTATCTGGGTCTCTGGATTAACAGTATAGTGATAATACCACGAGGTGATCGCCTCCCCAGTTAAATGAGCCTTAGCGAAGACGTTGGAATAGAAAAGATTTTCTGTGATTGTCAGAGGCTAATTAAAAGATATTGACGAGAAACCACCTTTCAAAATTTTGCCAAGTAAAACCCATTGCTAGCTGATTTAACAAACAAACAATTGCTCTAAATATAATCGAAAGCAGAAACTTGAGAGTAGCTTGAACATTCACTCTATTGGCATAAAAGACAAAAAAGCAAAACAAAACAAAATTAAAAGCGCCTAGCTAGCAGTAGGAAATGTACAGTGTTATATGTTTAATCTCTTTTAGTTTTGTTTGTTGATGAACTTTCTAACATTTTAATTCAGTAGTTTGGAGAAAGTGCAATGATTGTTTTTGAGTGCCTAATGTTCAAGATTGTTTCCTGCCAACTCCTCAGCAACTGCTATAAAAGAAAATGAAAATGTAATGTTAGAAATATTGCATTGCAGATGTGTGTTCATAGTATGTACACCAAAATGGAGGATTGTTCTCTGCAGCTGAATGAAGAGGCCCAAACATTGGGTCTCCAATTCATTTTTGTTGTGCTGGCAAGTTGGAATCAGCAGGACTCCATTTCCAGGCCACAATTTTATAGTGGTCTATATATTTGAGCATTAAGAAACAGAGGTTTCTGGTTAACAAAGCTGTTAGTAGGTATATATTTTGGCCAATATTTTCAGCAGCCTGATAAAATTATGCCATTTTCTGAATAAAACAGTTTTGCAAACCTAGTTTGTAAAATACATAGCTGCACAAAGCCACTTTTAATAGAGCTAACAACTTTAAAATGCTTTGTAAGTCATTGACTGTATGCTGATCAGAGAACTTGCTCTTTTGCCGAAAAGCATGTATAGTAAACTTACAACAAATGAGATATTTCAGCCTTCAGGTTAGCCTTGCTACAGGAATGTGAGCTTAGGAACAATGCACAAACAAGGAGAAAAATGCCAGTTACATAACTTCTGTTGTTTGTCTAGTCAGTGTATAGAGAAAGAGCTAAAATAATTAACTAAGCACCTTTTTCACTTAATGTCCGGTTGTGATGTATGTTGGTGTCTTGGCAACTTTTACAACAATTATGTTGTTCAGAAAGATTTGAATGTAGAAAATTTATCCTCTTCTCTCCGACACAAAATTAGCTATTACTTCATGAACGCCTATCGAAAACTGTAGCTTCGCAGAGATGTGAGAAATCGGACTTTGCAAGTCTCGTGTACCTACTGATGGTAGCGTTGATTTTGCGTGACCACCATTGACACTAAATCTTAGAGTTAGCAAATACAAATAGCCCATGTTGTACAATTTCAACAGTACCCAATTGGTCAGAGCAACAAGTTGAGGTCTGAAATTATCCATCATTTCTGAGTTATAATGTAAACAGTAAACACAAGCTAATCCGTATTCCATTGAGACAGAATTAGTGACTGGGTCATTTGAGGAATTTGGAGGATTGACCAAAGCTTATCGGGTGGAGTTTCACCAAACAGGAAAAAGAGGCTTAGCTAAATTTGGAAGTAGTGATTTTAAAAAAAAACTAAAAAAGTTCTGAAAGGAATCGAATCAGTCACAGTGAACTTTAATCTGACAACAGGATACAGATCTAATATGTTTTTATCAATAGTAACATATTCCAGCCTTGAAATTGTGCATTGAATATTGACAAGCTTTAGTGCCACTTTTAAAGTGACTATCAAAATAACTTCATTTGAATGCATAGTAATATTCACATAGTGTAATTTCAAGGTCAGTTCTATAAATGTGGCAATTTGCCTACATAATAATAAAAAATAACCAGACTTTTAAAATTGTGTGCATAACCTACTTAATGTTTATATAATTGGTGCCTCCTAGCAGATATAGTCATCTGTTGTGGATAAACACTGACATATAAACACTGACATATAAACACAAGTAGGTTAACATAATAACATTTTGGTCTTCATTTACCAGTTCCCATGTTTTCTGACCTATCAGGTAAGCAAAATTTTACAAGTGCATCTCTAACAGTTGTGTGATAAGATAGTGTAACGAATAAAATCATGTCTTTATTCCCAACCCTTCCTATTTTCACTCTTGTCCTTCCTCAGGCACCGCGCATCTAACCTCTTCATCGAAAGTTACAGAAATACCTGGATTGACACCGAGGAGCATTCGTTTGAAGATAAACTAATAGATGATCTGGCTGTAAGTACTGGTTTCTGTGAGCGGGCATGCAGCCGTGCTGTACCAGTACGTACAACCCTGTTTCTGTACCATATGCTATCGCTTGTATTTTTGCGTCAAGTCTGTGGCACAGTTATGCCATGTCTCCTGTCAATCTTGTGTTGCATGACTGGAAACTGGAAATAGCTGAGTCCATGGAATGAAGTTTTTCATATGAAAGAGCTTTGATAAAGACTGCATTTCAGCTGGGAATTCTTTCACAGCAAAGCCCATAAGTAATTATTTTATCTCCTTGGCTTTTCTTTTCATGCTTGGTGTTCTGCCAGCAGAGTCTATATGACATCTGAAAGACCTGTTACACCAGAACTAGAACGATATACACCAGATCCAGTGAATCTGGGTTAATACCAAAAGAGATCAACGAATTAGTGTAAACTGAATATGATGGATTGATTCAAGCTGGATAGAAGCAATGCTTTGGCTAATGATTTGGATAAATTGCAAAGAATATTTATTTACACAAGTCAGTAATTGGTACACAGTAAATCAATTGGTGTCTTTCAATCTGCATATGCTCCACATTCTATGATTCTAAATGTAGACCTAATTCGTCCTAAACAAAGTTATCTTTAATTTACAAAAGACATGTTCATTTCTCCTTAGATAATAATAACATTTTGGAGCATTATGTAGCTTTTGTATCTGCACAATTAAGCATTTTGTGCCTAAAAGACTGCATAATTTTGTAGTTATGTATTGTCTTCGGCTTTGCTAAATGGTTCATGCTAACCACATTACCTTGTATGGACCAAAGGATAATCATTGAATCATCTCAAAATTAATTCTGCAAGGTGACCATTTTTATTTCTTTTCAGTTTTTTTTAAACTCTTCTGAATGTAGCTATCTAAATTTCTGATTATTTTTGGTGCGTTTGCTGTCCAATAATATTTTGACACATATGGCCAAGTCCTGAGTCTCAAATTCCTGGATTGACACTGAGAACAATATTTTGAAGATAAACAACTAGCTTTAAGAGGGGTTTTCTATGTGCTGCCCTGTAGTTATGCATACCAGTATGTGCACCCTGCCTTACGTGATGCAAATCCTTACTCTTTCCTCCAAAATGTCAGACTTCACATCATGCTGCATACTTGATTTGTTCAGCACCTCTGATTTACGTGAGCCAGCTCTTCCCCCTTTTATAAGCAAGACCATATGTTAAGGTCCTGGGCTCTTCACGTCTGCTCTTCTTAACCAGAGTTGCTTGTCCCTTGCAAAATAGCAGACAAAGAGCAACAAGACAAAAAGAGAGACACATACAAATCATATTGTTCACAAACAATGTCCCAGAGAATCAACTCCTAATAATTAGTCCACTTTATTGTAATACCATTTTGCGTCATAATCCATTTGTCACATTATGTAAACCAAAATATTAGACTACTTTCAGTGTCATATCCCACTTATGAATTCCATGTTGTTGGTTTATGTCCTCGGTATTTTTGATGAATAACACCACCAGTACAATCCAGAGTGTACCTTTGGAACCCTTGATCAGTACACCAGCCACTGGAAAGTCTTCCAAATGCCTCAAGAAACTCTCACTTTCCAGGTGTCATACCCTGAACGGGCATTAGAGACCCTGAATTTCTATGTTAGTCCATGGTAATGCCTGGCAAAGTACTGCAGTGTATTGCAGCTGCCTTCCACAGATGCCTGGCTAGAAGTCTCTCCTCTTCTCACAACCTGCTATTAACATATGTTGGAAGCATTTACACCTTGACCTGCTTGGCTGTGTTATGAACACACATTTCTTAACTATCAAACCCTGGAATGGGACTTGCACAGGAGCTTCTGGCTCAGAGGTAGTGCCACAGGTCTGCCACAGGATTCTATTTGGCTCCAGAGGTGGGCTCCATATATGCTCTTATCAAACTAAGACTTTTTCAAGCCAACAAAACATTATTTTGCAGTAATATGTAGTATTTACAACCCAGAAGGAGGATTTACATTCTGCACATGCCTCTTCTATCCTTCTTCCTTACTCATGTTTATGAAGCCCATACTGTGGGGAGGTTTTGGAATCAATGAACCCAATGTCATTTGTTCCTTGAAAGTATACTGCACTTTCCATAGTCCTATATCAAATCACTTCCCTGCTGTCTCTGAAATACTTTTTGTACTAAAAGCAATGTTTAATTTCCAACTGAATGTTGGATTTCCAGTTATCTCCACAGAAGGCATGGTGCTTAGCTGACACATTTGAAACTGCTATATCAGTTATAAGTTCCTGCAAGCCATATTTTGTGGAAATGTAGATGTGACTTAGAAATTAGTTCAAGTACAGATTTTTTTTATATGAATTTCAGTGAGATAGAACCTTTAAGTGTTTAGTTAAACTGCAGCTGTACTGTTGGTTTCACATCACAATGACAAGCCATTTATTCTGTAAAGGGTAGCCTGAAACTCAACTGGACACTAGTGACTTTGGACATTTTTGAGGAGAAAGACTAACACCACTTTACACCCGAATCCGAGTCAAAAGGAGTGAAAATGGAGTTTAGCAGAAACAAAGCAGGCTTGTAATGAATCCACAGCTGGTGTTCTCTCTGAAGTTCACAGGATTGTTGTCACTTTTAGATCATAGAATCCCTACGGTGTGGAAATAGGCCCTTCAGCCCAACAATTCCACACTGACCCTCGGAGCATCCCACCCAGACCCATTCCTCTATAACCCACCTAATCCTGAAATCTATGGGCAATTTAGCATGGCCAATCCACCTAGTCTGTGCATCTTTAGACTGTGGGAGGAAACCGGAGCACCTAGAGGAAACCCACACAGACACAGGGAAAATGTGCAAATTCCACACAGACAGTCACTCAAGTGTGGAATTGAACCCGGGTGCTGTGAGGCGGCAGTGCTAACCACTGAGCCACTGTCCGCCCCTGGCTAGAAATTAAGATTTTCGTGAAACTTTCAAAGTTAATGGAAAAAGAAGTTGGCTGTCAATTCAGTGTGAGCCTGCTTTGTGCTACTGCCATTAGTCGACTATTTTCTATCATTTCCATTTTACTTGCACTATAACTTCAGCATTAGTGTATGTGAACAGCCTTATGCCAACACAAAACCTTTGACAAAGAAGTACCATTTCTTTACTCATAGGGAAATGGGGCTTCATTTTCCATATTTTTGGCTAGTTCCTTTTTTCTCTGTGTCTGAGAAGTTGGTATGAGAAAGCCTCTTTCTTTACTCCTCCAGACCTTCAACTTTCTGTTATTCCAAATGAACTTGACTAGCCCTGGTCACCTGCTTGATAACAATCATCAGCAGTATTGATTGTAGTTGCTAATAAACCCAGAATCAAACAGTTGGTTTGGAGCACAGGTTGAAATCAACTGTAACAGCATTTATCTGTATGATGCCTTTGTAATGTTCGAAGTTCAAACAAATGAACAATTAAGGCCTTCAAAAATTATATATACGCAACTGCTGGTGTATTGAATTATACCATCTAAATTATGCTAAATTATACCATCTTCCACCTTACAACTTTGAACACTTAGCAGAGGAGACAACATATGATACCATACCAGTAAGTGTTGTTTCATCTCAGCAATACCAGGATGGGAAGTATCAATAGGTGGAGTATTCAGACTGTTAACATGGCAAAGCTGTTATGCTGCTGCTACCATTTAGTTCTGGATTACCAGGAATTTCTCTCACTTTTACGACCTGCCAAATCAGGAGGATTTGCAAATTGATAGTAAACCTGTTTGGCCATGTTATGACCCACCTTCCGTGGCCATGAAGTACTGAGTTATAAGTTGAACATGGAGGCTCTGGGCCAGAGGTAGAGACACCACTTACTGTGCTGCTAAATTTCCCTGACTTCCAGAAGCAAACAAAATAGGTAGGTTTCTTGTTAATTTGGCTTATCTTTACTTGAATCATATCGCAAAATAATGGCATCTCATTGCTATTATGTAGTAGGCATAAATTTGAAAGAGTCATCTGTTAACTAGAGGTGTGATTTGATAATGGACAGAATTTAATGCTGTCTCTTGTGATAGGTTTGGTTGTGGGGATGTTTAATCAGGTGGGAGGGTGGCAGGTAGAGATCCACTCCCTCCTCCTCCCCCCCCCTCCCCACCAACCCCCAACCATCCAGCCAAACCTTGGACTGAGAACAATCATCCTGCCCTTGCTGCTACCACCACCTCCTTTCCACACTTCCCCTGCAGTTTCCATCTCACCACCATTCGCCTCTGGCCTGGAATCAGTAATGATCCCAGGCTTTGGGTTAGTGTAGTACCAAGGACAGCTACTGCCATCCTGAAGGCACTGCTGTTCAATAGAACTATGGCCTCAATTCGTTGGTAATTGGTATCCGATACAGCCAGCCAGCAGGCAAGTCCCCCCAGAATAACCCACGACCAATAACCTCCATTAAATGCAACCCATAAAGTGTCTATGACATAGAAGGAGACCATTTGACCGATCGAGTCCATGTTATCTCTTGAGCACATTCTAAACAGTCTCAATTCTGCACACCTCGCCCATAGCCCTGCAATTTTATTTCCTTCACGTGTTTATCCGATTGCCATTAAATCATTGCTCATCTTTGCTTCCAACATACTACAAGACAATGAGTTCCAGGTCATTACTACTTAGTGCATAAATCCTTCACGTTCCTCCTTATATCTCTTATCCAAACTTTAAATCTGTGTCCCCCAGTCATTGCACCATCAAATTAAGGGCCCAGCTATGTCCATCTTATCTAAGCCTGTCATATATATCTCTATCAAATCTCCCCATATCCTCCATATGCTCCACGGAGATCACTCCCAGCAACTCCAACCCAACCTTCTAACCGAAATTGCTTATCCTTAAAGTATTGTGGTAACTTTCCACTCCACCCTTTCATGGAGCTTCATATCCAGCAAATGCTGAACAGAAATGTACACAGTACTCTAGTTGTACCCCACTCAGCTTTATACTTATTCAGTATAACTTCCTTGC